GTGCAAGCGAGTGCGCACGTGCGAGTGTGCGCGCGTGTGTGCGTGAGTGTGAGTTGGCGTGTGCACGTGTGTGCGTGCGAGTGTGGGTGGGGTACGTGTGCGTGCGAGTGTGAGTTGGCGTGTGCACGTGTGTGCGTGCGAGTTGGGTGGGGTACGTGTGCGTGTGAGTGCGCGTGTGTGCGTGAGTGTGAGTTGGCGTGTGCACGTGTGTGCAAGCGAGTGGGTGGAGTGTGTGCAAGCGAGTGCGCACGTGCGAGTGTGCGCGCGTGTGCGTGAGTGAGAGTGGGAGTAGGTTGCGAAGGGGAGGCGCCCAACGAGGACAGAGCCCCCTCCCCGAGGGGCTACCGCTCCCAGGCCCCTGGACCCCCAGCCGGGACCCCCGCCCTCAGCCCCGCGGCCCCTGCGCCCACAGGATGGTCCGGGAGCAGTGCTGCCACAGCCAGCTGGAGGAACTGCACTGTACCACGGGCATCAACCTGGCCAACGAGCAGGACAGCTGCGCCACGCCACACAGTGACAACACCAGCCTCGAGGCCACGTTCGTGAAGGTGAGGACCTGCCCCCCCCCCCGCAGCCGCCCTGCCCCCCGCGGGAGGCCTGGGTGCTCTCCTGCCTGCAGCACCTGCCCAGGCCTGTCCTTCTGAGCAGCGGGGGGGACCTCGGGTCCCCCACCCCCTGCAGCTTAGTCAGTAAACCCTGGACGACCTGGAGGAGACAGGGACGAAGGGACCCAGGCTGGCCCTGCGGATGTCCAGTCCCAGGGCTTCCGGCGGAATGCAGAGATCAGAGCAGAGGCTACCTGAGCTCCGGGGCCATCAGAACCCTCGTCACGGTTCAAGGCAGACCCTCCCACCCGCGTCTGCCAGGAGCAGGCGGCCCTGAAGCTTTCCTGCCCACCAGGGCGAGGTGGAGCCTGGACCTCAGAAGGGGCCCCCACCGGGGCCTCTGAGAACACACGACCTCCCAAACTGCCCTGGAAGAGAAGAGGGAGGTTCGGAGAGGCCCCCACTCCAAAGTGGCCTGGCCAGGGGCACTTTCAGGACCAGCAGGGGAGGGGTCTGGAGAGGCAGCCCTAGGTCCATCGGGCCTGGGCGGAGGTGAGCGCTGAGCGAGTGACATCATCCGTCGTGGGTCTGCGCCGGGTCCCTCCGGGGCCTCTGTCCCTGCGGAAGGTTTGCATTTTCCCGTGGGGGTGGAGGAGTTCCTGACCACTTTCTGGGCCTGAAAACTGCAAATTAACTAGGTTGTCCCTTCCTCACCACCCACTGCGAGAGAAAAACAAGCCCGACCAGAAGGAGCTTTGGACAGTTAACCTGGGCAGCTGGGTTCCCATTGGAGCTGCATTTCCAGGAAGAAAGATTTCCCATTCCCCGTTAGGAGGGCCAGGAAGCGATCTCAAGGAGCATGAATTGGAATGGAGTCTGAATTCTGGGAGGGAGGTCCTCCACCCACCCTCAGCCTTTGTGGGCCTACATGGGAGGAGGCTTCTGGCATGAGGGAGCTGGGTGGGGCCGGAGTAGGGAGGTCTGGTCAAGGGGGCCCGCAGAGCCAGGAGCCTGGGCGTTCAGCGACCGCCTCCCCAGGCAGGGCTGGGGCCCTGCAGACGCCGTCTGCCCAGCAGACAGCTCTGCCCTTGTCCCCAGACTAGAGAGAAAGGGAGGTGTGGAAAAGGCATGGAACATTCTAACGGGCGTAGGAACAGGCCACTTTGGCAGATGGGTGATTTGTGTTTCCGGGAAGGCTTACTCATGCCCTGGAAGGTGGAGGCGGTAACCGGTGCCCTGCTCTTTCTGGCGCGGAGGTTGTAGAACCAGCGGGATGGAAGACCCATCAACCCCCACGGAAACTCAAGCAAAGCCACACCTCCTGGCTCCTGCTGGGGGCCTTTTGGAAAGTTCTGTGCCTCCCTTAGGAGAGTAAGGACTGAAATGGGGCTCTTCGCATATCGGGCTGAATGCCGTCCCCGGGATTCAGGTGTCACTTTCAGGAACACCGGGTCCAGGTGACAGGCGGTGATTCTGTCCCTCGCTTGATGACTTGTCTGGAGGTTCTCGTGCTTTTCAAATGCACGATGCGCTTCCTGCTGCCCAAATCCCCTGCGTTCGGGAGGGAAGAGACAAGTGCGTATTCATTTTTCCGGGCATGGTAGAGAAATCTTAGACCACACACCAGGAGGGGGCCCTCGGGGAGCGCTTGTGTGGCCCTCAGAGGGTCCCTGTTGTAGCTAATTCCTCCTGGAGGCATGTGAGGGGGGCGGTCGGGGGGGTGGGGTACGTGTTGGGTGCAAGCCCCCTTAAGGTTCCTTTCAGAACCCGGAGGAACCTGGGGGATGTGGGGGGCGGAACGCCCCAGGCTTGGCTTGCTGAGCTGCGTACTGCCAGGGTTCAGAAGGGAGAGCTAAGCGCCACGGTGCCATTGCTGTGCAGGCTGAGTGGACGTGGGGCCCGGGGCGGCACGGGGGCTCTGCCGTGTTGGGCGGCTTCTCCATCCCGAGGGTCCCCCTTGTTTGCAGAGGTGCTGCCACTGTTGCCTGCTGGGGAGGGCGGCCCAGGCCCAGGGCCAGAGCTGCGAGTACGCCCTCATGGTCGGCTACCAGTGCGGCTTGGTGTTCCGGGCCTGCTGCGTCAAGGGCCAGGAGACGGCCGACTTCACCCCCGGGGACGCTGGGGACATCCAAGAAGCAGGTAATCCGCCCCCCCCCTTTTTCCCCTTTTGGCCAGTGCATTAGTCAGTGTTATGCAAAGAAACAAACCCAATAGGATGTGTGTGTATGCGAGAAAGAGATTTACTTTAAGGAATTGACTCACTCAACTGTGGGGGCTGGCAAGTCTGAAGTCTGCAGGTTTGGCCAGCAGGCCAGAGACCCAAGAGAGAGCCGGTGTTGCAGCTCAAGCCCAAAGGCCATCTACTAGCAGAATTCCTTCTTGCTTGGAGGAGGTCGATGCTGCCCTGAAGGCCTTCGCCTGATTAGACGAGGCCCACCCACATTATGGAGGGCAATCGGCTTTACTCAAAGTCTGTTGATTTAAATGTTAATCTCATCGAAAATAAAGTCATGGGCGCCTGGGTGGCTTAGTTGGTGGGGCGCCTGCCTTTAGCTCATGTCATGATCCTGAAGTCCCAGGATCAAGTCCCGCATCAGGACCGCCGCTCAGCATGGGGTCTGCTTCTCCCTCTGCCCCTCACCGCTCTCATGCTCTCTCTCTCTCATTCTCTCTCTCTCAAACAAATAAATAAAATCTTTAAAAAAATAAAATAAAATGCAGTCACAGCAAATACAGACTGGTGTTTGACCGTATCTCTGGGTACTGTGACCCAAGCAAGTCAACACGTAAAATTAACAGTCACAGGGGGGGGGGGCACACCTGTTTGCTGTTGTTTTAACTCAGCGCAGACTGATTCTAGGTGTCAGAGCAGTTTCGTGTTCATTACCTCATCTGAGAGACCCCCTGCCCTAGAGTGGGACCAAAGACTTGGGATCCCGGATCTGACAAATCTGGGTTCATGTTTCTGTCCTAACATGTATTGTAAGTAAACTGATGTATCCAGACCTCAGTCCCCTCATCTGTGAAATGGGGATAATTATAATCCTGCTTCATAAGGTTTCTGGGAAGATTATTTGGGAGAATGAGTACAGAGTGTTTGGGGTGACTCCATAAATGTTCGTCATCAAGATTCTTGCCTGTCCCTCCAACAGCCCCGGGCTGGTCAGCATGGTGGCCGACCCTGCTCTCATTTCACGGATGGAGGGCCTGATGCTCAAGGTCAGATGACCAACACACAGGGGAGGGAGAATGCTGGCCTTCCGCCCCTCGGCCAGTGCCCTTTCTCTCTCCATCTGGTGCCAATGACATGTCAACAAGAGGCGGGCAGGGTTATCACTCATTACTAGCTGGCTGTGCTCTTTTAACTAATAGATCTTTATTCTATGGCAGGGTCGGGGGAGTATCTCCACTCTATCAGGTCAATAAAATGCGTCCTGGTCCCCGGCAAAAAAAAAAAAAAAGGGGGGGTGAGTGACCCCAAGGATAGCTTCAAGGGAGCTTGGGAGGGTTAAGGGCAGGAAGGCCTTAGGAAGGAGGAGCTCACAGACCCGTGCTCCTTAAGTCAGGCTGCCCATCGTCCTGGCTTCATGACCCCAGTGGCTTTGTGGTCCTGGGTCAAACAGACCAGTCTCTCTGTTTTTAATTTCTCATGGATGCCGTGGGGGCTGATTTCAGATATCTCAGTCATAAAGAAGGTCTGGAACCACATTCTGGCTCCCTCCTTGACTTTTGAAACCCCAGAGATAACATTTTCACTTTAAACAAACCCAAACTATTCGTCCTGGTGGAGAATTTCTCCTGTGTCTCTGGGGAGGATTTTTGTTGATTTATGTCTTGTTTCCATAACAATCTCTGAGCTTTGCTGCCGCTCCAGATGTCTTATTTCTCTTCTGTCTTTTATCTGCTTCGATTCTTGCCCCTGACTTTTCCCCCAGAGTCTATGTGAGGACCCCCTGCCCTTCCTCCTCGCAGATACAGGCGTGCCTTCCTGCCTTCCAAGGGTGTTTGTCACAGGCCTACTGTGTGCTGCCACGGGCCCACAAAGAGGGTCCACAGACCACTACTGGCCTCTAACAAACTAAGTACATGAATTGAGAGTAAGCTTTTAGAAACTTTTATAAGCCTTTGATAGCATGACTTATGTCTGTTTCATCTAACTGGGGGCCTATTTGTCTGTTCTCATAACTTAATTTTTCTGGTAATTACTTTATATTACATGTTATCAAGGTATTGGCCTACGATGGGGGAAAGAGCCCTGTCCCTTTACCGCAGAGAGTTTGGGAGGAACTGTGCTGGGCCACATATTGGCTATCCCCATTCTACAGATGGGGAGGTAGAGGCTGGAGAAGCCCAGGTTTGGGATTCGCTTTCTGGCAGAAATGGTGGTGTCTCTGTGCCAGGCTCGCTGGCTCCCACAGAACACCATGCAAACCTCGATGGCCTCCTTACCCGGGCAAGAGGTAGCCCCTCACGGGTTCTCCTGGCCGACACCCCGGCCTGTGCCCTGCCTCGACTGAATGCCCCAAGTGAGCCAAGAGTCCCCAGGTTGAATGACCGTGGCAAAGGCGCTCCCAGCCCCCTAAACTAGAAGAGATGATTCACACTCTAAAGATCTTTTTGCTTAGTTTCTGGCCAAGTGAATGGTTTACTTAGGGACCCTGACCATATTTTAACAGCCCCGAAAAGAGACTGCCTTGTGCCTAGTGTATATGAGTTATGTTGTATTGAATTTTTAGAGTCATTATTAATATGTTTCTTCTTGCTGATGCTTATTTTTCTGGTGTATTGTTACACACTCACTGTGGGCGTTTTAGAAGATACAGAAAGCAGAGGGAAGAGGAAATTGACACAGAGAAATATTGTTTCCATTAGGTCACATTTCCTTTCCTTGTTTTCTCTCCGTCTCTTTTGGCTTCTCGCACACGGGCGCGAGTGTGCGGTGGATGCGCTTGGATTTATTTCCCGCCCATCGCAGTCATGCCAGGCTGCGACTCATGCCTGAATTGTGATCGCTGCTATCCTCTCTTGTGGAAGGGGCCTCGACTTCCCAGAGCGTGGTTTCCGGGTACTTTTAGGGATCCTTCCCTCCCTTGGCTGTCTTATGCAACCTGGAGGGACGAATCCATTTCTTTTCTTCACCCAGAACTACCAGGGGAAAACCACCCTATTAGGTTAAATTAGGGGACCCCACTGGTCCCACTGTCTCCCTTTGCCCTGTTGAAGTCTCTGTTGAGAGTAGGGGCCTTGTCTCTGCCGAGCGCTCGGCCCACAGAGCAGATGCTCAGACACCTCGTCTGAACGAACCCAGTGAGTGACTATTGATGACCCGCACTAAATTGAGTTTTGCAGGCAGACTGTATATAGATATTTATTTCCTGGGGCTGCCCTAACAAAGCACCACGGACTGGAGTTGGGGGGGAGCTTAAACAACAGGAATGTTCTGTCTCCCAGTCTGGAGGACGCCCCTGATCAAGGTGTTGGCTGTCTGTCTGAGTCCCTCTGAGGCTGTGGGGCAGAATTGGCTCCAGGCCGCTCTCCTGGCTTCTGGTGGCCTTGGGTACATGGATGGCTGTCCCCTCCCTGTGTCTTCACATCAATTGCCTCTGTGTCCTCTTTCCTCTTTGTATAACGACGCAGACATACTGTCTGGGGAAATGCCTTCACTCGCCTTAACTCGATCATCTGCAAAGACTCTTCTCCAAAGGAAGGTTACATTTGCCGGTACTAGGGGTTAGGGCTCCAACATCTTCTGAGGGCGGTGACACCGTTCAACCAACAACAAGTTTTTACCGGGTGCATTGTTTAAGGTTTGGGGGCCATGGCCCGGTTTAGAGCAGGACCGTGACTACATTTGCTGAAATAGGCAAGTAATGTGGAGTGCCTAACGTCCCTTGGCAATCCCCGAGCTCCCCAAATGGGCATGATTGCCTGGTATTTATAAGGAGATAAAGTGGGGTGCCCGGGTGCCTCAGTCTGTTAAACGTCTGCCTTTGGCTCTGGTCATGATCCTGGAGTCCTGGGATCAAGCCCCGCATCGGGCTCCCTGCTCAGCGGGAAGCCTGCTTCTCCCTCTCCCTCTGCCTCTGCCTGACGCTCCCCCTGCTAGTGCTCCCTCTCTCTCTGTCTGTCTGTCAAATAAACAAATAAAATCTTGAAAAAAAAAAAAAGAATATTTTTTAAAAAAGGAGAAAAAGTATTCAGGGTTTCTGCTGAGACACGATGGGATGCTGCATTTGTATACATGTCCTTTTTGCCTCTCTTTCCCCTCAGCCAAGATTTCAGAGATCGAGGAGGAGCAGGAGGACCCATACCTGAACGACCGCTGCAGAGGTGAGGCCCTGCTACCTCCCAATCCCACTGGGAGTTCGACCTCAGGTTTCGCTCAGGTTCACGTGGGAAGAGCCCTCTGGCTGCGGGTCAGCTCAAGTCTGTCTGCCCTCCCCGCACTCCTGGGCTCCCACCTTCTCTTTCCCTTCGAGCTGGGGCCTGGTGGGCTGATAGGGAGGGGGCCATGTGGGAAGCAGGCATCAGAAGTGCCCCCCCTCCGACACAGCACCCACCTAAACAGGGGCTCTGCGAAGGGTGAACACCCGGGGAGGGGGGAGCGTTACTTGACTTTGGGTCCTGGAGCCCCAGAAGGTGCCGTGGACTGTATCCATTTGTCTGGCAAGGGAGACGTTTGCAAATTAAAAGCGAGTGGGGCCTGGCAGGTTTGTTTTTCATGTGATAAAACGTTATTTCTCCTTCATGGAACATTCCCACATGTCTAGACTGGCAAGTCTGCTTCTCCATTCGGAGGCTTGCCCTGTGGCTGGAACATTGATGGGGGGCCAGTGTAATCACAAAATGATGTGGTCAGTGCACAGTGCCAGTCCGCACAGGGGCGGGGGTGGGGATGCTGGGGGTGGTGGGGGAGGGCAGAGAGCCCAGAAAACTCCCTGGGGGAGGTGTGGGAGGGCCTTCCTGGGGAGGATGTAGCTGGTTTGCGAGGGGTGAGTGTGGGTTAGCCAGGAAAGTACCACTGGACAGAGATTTGGGCAGCAGGAGTGGAGACATGTGGACCCAGACTCGGCGTGGGTGAGTCTGGTGGCCGTGGCATGGGGGAGGGGGGTGGTGGGGGATAGAGGAAGAGGCTGGGGAAGCAGGCAGAGGCCCACAGGCCCTGGGCAGCAGTCGGAGCTTTGGTAGCATCTTTAGCCAGTAGAGGTTTGTCCCGGTGAGAGTCGCTCTTTGAGCATCACTCAGCGGCCTGCAGGAAGTGTGGTTGGAGTGGGCGGGGGGAGGGGGGGGTAGTACCAGGGACAGTCAGGGAGCCAGGTGAGCTGAGGGGGCCCGTGGGGCCTCTGCGGGGCCTGGCCTCCCTCACGGGACGGCCCCCTCCGTGTCTGTGCTGGGCGGCAATATCCCTGGCTTCTCTGCCCGGCCTCTCCCGGCACCACTACGACCTGCAGGGATGGCCCAGCCTGCCGCCATTTTGTCGGACCAGGGCTGGGACCTGAGGCAGCCGCCCCAAGGTTGTCCAGGGCCAGATCGTGGGGTGGGGGGGTCTCGCGTGGGAAGGGAGAGGTGCTAGGCTGGAGAGGGTGGGCTCCAAACCGGGGAGCCTGCCTTTGTGTATTGTCCGCCCTGAGGGCGCTTGCTCCGGCCTAGTCCAAAGAGAACTGGCCACCCAAAGGGCCTCTCGTGTGTGTTGGGCTCCTGGCTCACCTTCGCTCTGATCTGCTCTGGTTCCAGGCGGTGGGCCCTGCAAGCAGCAGTGCCGAGACACGGGGGAGGAGGTGGTCTGCTCGTGCTTCGTGGGCTACCAGCTGCTGCCCGACAGCGTCTCCTGTGAAGGTAACCGTTGCCGTGCTCCAGCCGCAGCAGGACGGCACGCAGCCGCCCCGGGGGCCTCGGCCTCGGCTTGGCACCGGGCAGGGCCCACCCTGCACACCCCCGGGCCCCCCTCGGAGGTGAAGAACAGCATTCCCTGGAGCCTACAGCGCACGGCGCCCAGCCACGGCTCTCCTGCAGGAACGCACAAATACCGCGTTGGGGAAGAGGGCTGGCTTTGGGGTCTGACTGGGCTCTGAATCCAGGATCTGCTCAGTGGCCCCGGGCACGTCCCTCAGCCTCTCTCGGCCCCTCCTGTCCGAGGTGGGGGAGACGGAGCAAGGTGATCGCCTCTCGTAGGGGCCTTACGGATCACGTGGCTCGGGTTCAGGGCCTGACACTTGCTCCGTGGGTGCTCAAGGAGAGCAGTAGATCTGAAACCGAGCAGGGGAAAGAAACCATTGCTTTTGATTTGGTGGTGGGTGCCCAGGACCCCGACTAGGCACGTGCGTGGGGGACTGGACAGATGGCTGGGGACCAACTGCACCACGCCTTCCGGGACATTCCTTTTGATAAAGCTCGGGGGTCCGTGGTTCCTGCTGGTTACTCCTGCTTCGCCTCCATCTCTCCTAGATATCAATGAATGCGTCATGGGCAACCACAACTGCCGGCTTGGAGAGTCCTGTGTCAATACAGTGGGCTCTTTCCGCTGCCAGAGAGACAGTAGCTGTGGGACTGGCTATGAGCTCACGGAGGACAATGACTGCAAAGGTATAACATGCTTCGAGTCTACACACCTCAGCTCCCCGGGACTAGATAGGATTGCTGGTAAAGCAGCACTGGGCTCTCGGGGGTCTGGGCTCCCCGTGACTGCCCAAGGGACACTGGCCGGTTGTGTCTTTGGTAAAGATTTACCTTCTGGACCGTAACGTTGAGTTAATGACAGTGGTGAGTTTGCATTTCTGGAAAGGCTCAGAGCAGGATCATTTCAAAACGAGACCAGAGGTGAATTTCAGGTGCTCACATGTGCTTTCTCCCCGCAACCCCCCCCGCCAAAATATTTTCTGTACAACAGCTGCCTTCCATCTGACTCCAGGCTTCCTTGAAGTTCAAAGCATATTCTCTTCCGCTGCATAAAAACATGACATTTTTGGCTGCTGGCCTTTCCCCGCCAAGCCATAGATGTGATTTGGCAGATAAGGCTTTGATGAGGATCTATTAGAACATAGTTTTCTTCTGAGGGTTTCCAGCCCTCCAGAATGACAAAACCACCTCTGTGAAAATTTTGGTTGAGTTACGAGGGTAACTCAAAAGCCAGGCACACCCTCGTGACGTCTGACGGCCTTTGGGCAAGCTCACTCCACTCCACCCTCGCTGGGCGGTTTGGATCCTGAGAACCCAGGGGCCCAGCCAGCTGAGTATACACTTTTGAACATGTGACAGCCATGAACTTCAGGGGAAGGGCAGCCAACATGTCTGATCATGACAATCACCATTGTTCATGTTTGGAAGATTATGACGATTTCAGAATGAATAACTTTATAGGGACAGTGTTTATTGCCACTAAGATCATTGCTTATTATCTAAACTAAACATGCACTTAGCCTAAAGTGAAGAAAAAAAAAAAATCCCACATACTGCCAGGAAAATGCCTGGGATATTTATTATATAACAGAAAGTTTGCCTCATAAGAGCCTTGGGGGAAGAGAAAGAGTTTTCAATCTTTAGCAATATGAGCATTATTGGGCTAGCTAAGGCGCCTTTTTATGTGACCTCTCTATTGGAATGTTTTGGGTTGTAGTCTGAGTAATGAGCAATTAAAAAAAAAAAAACAACTTTCTTGTGATTTTTAAATGTTGTATGATGCTTCTGGCAGGACTCTTGCTAACAATTTCCTTTTTTTATGACGTACCAGATATTGACGAGTGTGAGAGTGGTATTCATAACTGCCTCCCCGATTTTATCTGTCAGAATACTCTGGGATCCTTCCGCTGCAGACCCAAGCTACAGTGCAAGAGCGGTTTTATACAAGATGCTCTAGGCAACTGTATTGGTAAGACACTGTCGCCAGGGCTGGCAGGGTCCCCCGGGCGGGGCCGATGCCCCAGTGCCGGGCCACGTCTCTGCGACGTGAGGGGCCGCCGAGCAGAGGTCGGCAGGCACATCCTGTAAAGGGACGGGGAGCAAACGCTGAGGCCTCGTGGGCCGTCCGGTCTCTGTTGTGGCTACTTAGCTCTGTCGTTGAAGCCGGAAGGCAGCCACAGACAACGTGGATGAATGGGCGGTGTTGTGTCCCCATAAAACTTTATTTACAAAAACGGGTACAGGCAGGGGTTGGCCCCAGGGCCAGAGTTGAGCAACCCCCGGGTTTAGACGAAACCCCCGGTTTGGCTTCAATTTTGGAGTCAGAGACACCTGGTTTAGAACTCAATGACTTAAGGTAATTGACTTCCTTCCTCTGACCCTCAATTTCTTCCTCTATAAAATGGGAAGAATCGTAATATCTGCCTTAGAGGCTTGAGGCAAGGATCGAAGAAGAGGATTGTGAAGAGTCTGGTGTACTAAAGATTTGTTTTAAGAGATACTCTGTGTTAGTAGTCAGTTTCGTAGAGAGAGGAGAGGAGCACGGGAGGTGCAAAGGGCCTGGGGCAGGGGAGTGGGGAGCTAGTGTTTACCGGGCAGGGAGTTTCAGTTGGGGAAAATTAAAAAGTTCCGTGGTTGGATGGTGGTGGTGGTTTCACAACAGCACGAACGTAGTTGATGCCACCTGTCTGTAGACTTAAAAATAGGGAAAACGGCACATTTTCTGTCACATATATCACACCACAAAACCCCACAAAACTACTCTGTTGCTATCAGAGAAAGAAAATCCCGTGGGAACGTAGTAAATGAGTAAATGCAGGAGGCCTGGCGAGAGGCTCAGGTCGGGGAAGCAGCGTGCGGGAGGGGCAGGGAGCCGAGCGGACCAGTTACCTGCTCTGTACACGGGGGGTGACTCCCCTTTCTCCTGGGCTCACCCCGGCTAACCACCTGGCTCGGTCACTGTGTGCTGTTGGCCTTTGCGTCCAGATCCGCCGGCCTGGCCTTGGCCTCTGCTCAGCAGAAGCTTCTGGGTCCTGCCTTTGAGGGTAGGAAGACGTCTCTCCCGATGAGAGCTGCAGATGCCATCTGTTAGAGCCCACCCTCCCTGGGGGCTGCCCCGTTACCCTCTTTGAAAGGTTGACACCTCCGGGAGTGAGGGATGGCGGGTGTCTGTCTGGCTCACCCGCTCTCAGAGAAATCTGTATTGATCTTTGATTTGAAGTGGTAGTTTGGACTGAAAGGTCTCCTAGCCTTTTTTTTTTTTACCACCCTGGGATATTTAAAGACAAATAGAACAGTGACCCTCACTTTGGACAGGGGCCTCCTTGGAGCCCTGCCCCAGCCTCCTTCTTTAAAGCTCCCCTGTCATCCCGTGCGGGCCGTGTGGGGAGGCTTCGGAGCTGGGGGTCAGGGGAGGGGCTCAGCTTGGCCCCTCACCAGCTTCCACCCAGTGTAGGGGACCATGCTGCTGACGGCCCTCCCAGGGCCAGCAGGGAGGAGGGGCCTGCCCGGACTTGCCGTGCACTTGGAGGGGGCTCTGCCGAGGAGGCTGGCATCTGTTTGGGATGGAAACCCTGACTCATGGCAAAACCAGCCCCGATTTCCACAAAGGAACATTGACAAGTCTCAGCGTGGCCCCCTCCTCCCCCTCTATGGGGTGCAGACTGTGCAGGGACAAGGTGTGAGAGTAGCGGGAGGGGACAGTCCCCTCAGTGTCTTCCCCTAGATGCAGGGAGAGCCCTGGTGAGTGGAGCTAAGCCCCAAAGGAGCCCCACCCGCCAGCACCTGGTTATGTGGAGGGTTTGCAAACCAACCATGAGGTGCCCCTCATCTCAGCCCTGGGGCGGCCCCCCTTTTCATGTGCCCACACTCCTTGCAACCAGACTCAGGATTCTTTCTTTAAAAATTTTTTTTTTAATTTCAGAAGTTTTATACATATATATATCTTTATTTACAAAAATGCAAGCCAATCCCGAAGTGCAGAAAGGAAATGCTTCTCTCTTGCTCAGCAGTGTCTGTGTGCCCTTCTGGGCTCCTGCTGTCTGGAGACTCTTTGTTTCTGATACAAATGGAGCCAGACTGAGCTGCAACGTGCTCCCCCCACCCCACCCCCGAGCCCTTCACAATGTATTTCGACATCATTTTACGTCAGTACCTTTATGTCATCTTTTTAAAAATGACCTCGTCATCCCAAATACTTCTCTACAAGGAGAAAGTGTATCGGGATCCAATGCTAGTTTCAAGGCCGTCTGGGAGAGGGCGCTTCCCCTCCCCTGTGTGTGTCCTGGTCCTCGGCTTGCACACCTCCACCCACGGCACCCTCACCCTCACCCCCTCACCCCCTCCAGAACAGCGTGACCTCATGGGCAGCCAAATGCATCTTCCCAGGATTCCTGGAAGCATTCCTGGTGCCCCACAAGCCTGCCTGTTCCCCTCTGGCCACCAGCAGACAGCCCAGCAGCTGTAGAGCTCTACCCCGGGGTGAGGGGGGAAAGGGAGGATGCACAAGAATGGCCATGCTCTAAGAAAGCAGAGGCCTTTTTCCTTATTATAAGACATAGAATGTTCTAGAACCTTGAGGTTTGGTTGCTGAGGGCCTTGAGAGATCCCATCTTTTTGTTGGTTTTCTTTTCCCTGTTTCTTCTGATTCCCAATTGGCGTGCGCCGTCTTCCCTTCTGCTTTAGTGAGGACAACAGAGAGGACCAGAGCAGGGCTTCCCACACGCTGGCCCACTCTGTCTTGGGACGCTCACAGGTCCGGGGACAGAGTTTGGGAACTGTAGATCTGATTGGCGAGCACAAGGCTTGGAGGGAAGCCATGTTGTTGCTAAACACTGCATTTATTCTTGATGCAGAATTTTTTTCTGCAAAGGGCTAAATACTAAGTACCAGCTTCATGAACTCTAGGGTCTCTGTTGCTGTAGACAACAAGTAAAAGAATGGGCATGGCTGTGTTCCAATAAAGCTTTATTGACAAAAATAGGCAGTGGGCTGGATTTGGTTGGCAGGCTGGCAGGCTATAGTTTGCCCACCCCCGATTTGAGGGCTGGGAGGCAGGACTCCCTGGTTCTAGAGCTGAGTGGGCCCTAGGCCCAGCTGTGTGCTTGGGAGTTTCCTTGTTTATAAAATGCAGAGACTAATCCCGGCCCTGCCTAACTTGGAGGCTAGCTGTGGCGGGTGAGGGCAGTGTGGACCTAAACGCTTTGTCAACTGTTAAGTACTGCATCTGTGCTTAAGGCCGACTCAAGGGGGAGGATGCGGCTGGTCACTGGCTGTCCGAGGAGGGTGGGGTGTGGCCGGGAGGGGAGAAGTACAGCCAATCCCTCTTTTTGACTTCAGCTCAGGGGTCTTCTACCATCACTCCCTTCTCTTTGTCCCCTAGATGCTTTGTAAGTATCTGAAAAAGGGAATTCTTAAAAACCTCGGTCCCTTTAGAAGTCTCCCCTAGTAAGAAGTTCAGCCTGTGCGGTTTGTTGTTGTTGTTGTTTGAGAGAGAGAACGCGAGTGGGGTGCAGGGCAGAGGGAGAGGGAGAGAGAGGATCTTAAGCAGACTCCACGCTCAGCACAAAGCCCGACACGGGGCTCGATCGCATGACCCTGAGATTATGACCTAAGCAGAAATCAAGAGTCCGACACTTAACCCACTGAGCCACCCCCGCGCCCCAGCCTCAGTGATTTTGCACCGAATTGGAGCTAGAGGAGCGAAAGGTTATCCTTGTGCATTTACTGGTTCGCACTCACTAGGCGTGTGAAATTCAGAAGAGACATGGCCATGTGACCATGGGCAGACCTGAGAGCCAGGCAGGCAGCCTCAGATGCCGTGCAGGGAGAGACGGGCGGGTTGAAGGTTCAGGGGCAGGGAGATGGCCCAGGCAGGTGGTGTTTGAGGTGGCATGTGCTGGCAAGATCTGGGAGCCACTTGGGAGGCTGCTGTGTGGTCCAGGGTGAGGGGGCACCATGGTACCTCTGTGTGGGGTTTTGTAGTGAGGGGGGGAAGTAGGGGTTTTCTGGAGACCGGGTTGTTGGGTTTCTGCAGGCCCTCCGTGTTTCACCACATTGTCCCTGTCTTTCCTGCTGCAGATATCAATGAGTGTTTAAGTATCAGTGCCCCGTGCCCTGTTGGGCAGACGTGCATCAACACGGAGGGCTCCTACACATGCCAGAAGAACGTGCCCAACTGTGGCCGTGGCTACCATCTCAACGAGGAGGGAACCCGCTGTGTTGGTTGGTATTAAAAAAGAAAACCAACTTTTCTGTCTGCTCCCAGCACACCCCTCCTTTCTCTGAAAGGGGAGAGGAGATCCCCAAAGTGAAGCCGTTTCCACCTGTCCATCCATCTCATTGCTCATCTCCAAGCATAGACCTTTGCCATCGATTGCTTGGACTATTGCAATAGGATGCCAGCCTACCACTGCACCCAGCTTTGTCCCTTTCAGTCTGTCTGGGGTGTCCTGAGCTGAAAGCTCCCTTGTGCCTCCCTGCTCACAATCCCCACTGGTGGGACACAGAGTTCAGGCAGTGACCCCGCTTACAATTCAGTCCTCCTGAGGTTGACCCAACTTCGAAAACCTTATAATTCAGATGAAATAGGTCTTGCTGCTCCCTAAACAAGCCCTACCCTTTCCTCTCTGTGTGGTTTTCTGCTTTTACATCATTCCCTCTGCCCACCTGCTGCTACATTCCTTTGGCTCCAGATCCCTGCTAGCAGGAAGGAGTCTTTCTCCCTGTGACTCCCAGAGCACTTCCCTAGCGTCTCCCCCGGGTCACTGGGCACTTCCTGCCTTCCCTGGGGCCCTTGCTAGCCAGCTGGAGCAGGAGGCCCCTGAGGGCAGGGTCTGCAACCTGGGTCCGCTGTCTCCCCAGCATGGGGCGCAGCACGAGCAGGCACTCTGTGACATCGTGTTGAAGAATAAATAATGTTGCTTTGTCAACATACATTTTAGTTTGCTGCTTTCTTGTCTTCCTCTCTGATATCTTAGGGGAAAAAAAAAAAAAACCCACACTAAACGCTTTTCAATGCGTCATTCTTTTTTACAAGATGTGGACGAGTGTGCGGCACCCTCTGAGCCCTGTGGGCCGGGGCACCTTTGTGTGAACTCCCCCGGAAGTTTCCGTTGCGAGTGCAAGGCTGGATACTATTTCGACGGCATCAGCAGGACGTGTGTGGGTACGTGGGTGTCCCCACAGGCCTCGGTGGTCCCCTGAGAAAGTCCCGGTACAGCAGCCCCAGAGAGCAGACCCTGAGTCAGGTGACCCCCATCCCGGTTCCACCTGCCACTGCGCTCCCGGGTGTGAGCCAGGCTCCCTGCCTGTACAGCAGGTGCTCTGCTTGACCCAAGGCCGGCAAGGGTTTGGGAGACTACGGCCCGCTCCGCAAATGTCCAGAAGCATGAGTGATTTCCCAGAGTCCGTGTGCACCCGCAGGGCTTCGGGGCGGTGTGCACGGATCACGGCAGAAGAACCCGCGGTGGCATGGCCACCTCTCCGCCAGGAACGGGGACAGACCCCCGCTGACTGCCACCTGCCACCCCCAAACCAGGCTGCTCAGGGGAGGCTGACAACTGCCCCGTTCAGCCCCAGAGCCCCGTGTCAGACCCCAGCGGACCCTCCTTCAGGACTCCAGGGTGGAGAACTGGCGGGTGGGCACGTCCCCAGGAGGGCGGCCATCAGGGAAGGAGCCTGAGACTTGCCCAGCGGACAGGTAGAGGCCGGGTGTGGTCCCGGCTCCCCCGCTGACTCGCTGTGGCTTTGGGACAAGTCGCTTTGCCTCTCTCATCCGAGAGATGGGGCTGCAGGCGGTGGGGGACGGAGGTGGCGAGCAGAGGCGGCGTGGGGCGTTGCCTGCTGGGGGACGGACGCTGCCCTGAGCCGGCCCCGTCCGCTCTGTTGCAGACATCAACGAGTGTCGGCGCTACCCCGGGCGTCTGTGCGGCCACAAGTGCGAGAACACGCCGGGCTCCTACTTCTGCAGCTGCACCGTGGGCTTCCGGCTCTCTGCCGACGGCCGGTCGTGCGAAGGTGAGGCGGGGCGGGCAGGGCGGGGCGCTCCGGGACCCCCTGCTCCTGGGGAGAGCCACTGCTCCACCTGCAGGCCCCCGGGGACGGACTCGAGTTTGTTTCCCCAGCACGTATTAGGTGACGCGCTGGTCGGGGAATCGCCTGCAAAAGGTGGCTTGTCAGAGATGACTGCTCACCCAGTCCCTCCCGGGCCTTGGAGCACCTGGCGGCATCTGTCCAGGGCCACGCACGTGGGGATTAATGAGCTGAAGCAGCTGTGTGGGACACTGCTAAGAGTGCGGGATTTGGAGGCATCCGACCCACCCTGTGTTCCCGTGACCGTGGGGAGTGGCTGATGTCACCTGCCTCCGTGTCCTAACGGGAGGAATGGGGTTGATAGGTCAGATTTTCAAGTAAATTGGAACGACAGGTTTTACTCAGATTTTGCAGTAGCGGAGAGAGACACATGTCAGTGTAAATCCATCTCAGCTCTGCAGAAACAAAAGGCGAGAGGCTTTTGAGATGCTGGGGCATGCTAAGGAGAAGCACCACAGGATGTTAGGTGGGGGTCAGCCTGGACCTGCTAACTGGCTCCTCCCCTCCCACAGAGACTGGGAGAGGAGTGCCTCCCCTTTTGATGACCACATCTCAAAGGTGTGGTTCCTGCATCCTGGAGAAAGACTCTTGGGTGGCAGAGGATACATCTCAAAGGGACAAGAGAGAGGGTTTACATTTACAAGTTTTCTAAAGTAAATACTTCTAAGAAGAAGGAGGCCAGGGCATGTCATCAGGTGTTGGCTGGAATACTGAGTATCTTCTTTGGGCAGCGCTGAGCTTTCTCAGGCAGGCATTTTAAGGGTCTGAGGCCGTCATCCTAAGCACCCCGTCTTGGGCCAGTAGAAGCCATGCTAAAGTGTGGCCGGTCTCTCCGTCCACCAGGTGGGGGTTGGATGGAGTTGTTCGTGCTGCGTCTTTCGGTTAGCACACAGCACCAGCCTCTTATGGTGACGGACCGAGATGGCGTGAAGGGCATTCAGCACAGGGCTTGGCTCACAGTAGGTGCTCAACGGGTATCGCATCTTCTATGGGGATTAGGTTCTGAGGTCAGCAAAGGAAAGAGCTTTGACGGCCCTCAGTGATGCCCTCCCATTGCCCAGCACAGCCTCTGGACCCTCAGCAGAACGATCACAGAAGTCAACTATGCCCAGATGCACCCAGTATGCACAGTTCTCAAACTGGAGGCTGGACAGTGTGACAAAATCCTGGGCCCTAGGGTCCCCCCAAGAGTTAGGATCTGCCCCCAAGAACCAGACCCAACGCATGTATACTGGCAAGGAAAGCATTCACACATTGGCGGTGGGGGGGTTGTCCCTTGAGCTTGGGTTCAAATCCTAGCTCTGCCATTTTATGGTCTTGAAGAAGTAACTCAGCATTTCTGGGCCCCAGTGTCCTCACCTGCAAAAGTGGGGGGTAGCAGGACCCACCTTATCGGGAGTCATGAGGGTGAAGCACGTGAAGAGCTCATCCCAGTGTCCTGCGTGCGACAAAGTGCCATCTATGGAGACCGCCGGTGTTCTTGCTCCTATCATTCATGGCTTATGCTGTTCCTCATCACTGCTAAGTGACCAGAAAGGAGATATTCACGTCTACATTAGCAGCAACACTGGGGACAGAAAACCAGGGCCTGGCCAGCTTTGCCGTGTCGTCCCACTAAGCTTTTATGAAGGCCCCCTGACAAGGTGTGTGGCGGGAACATGGTTCCCGCCTTCAAGGAGTGTCTCCAGGATGTGACGAGAGCAGAGGTGAGCAGGTGAGCAGGTGGGCAGGTGGCGGCCAGGCTGGGCACGGGGCTACTGCAGGACGAAACACGGGGTGAGAGGCGAATGGACATTCTCAGCTGCTCGCCCCTCCTGCCCTGCTAGGAGTTAGCAGGAAATAAATGTGAGAAGAGGCTTCTGGGCCAGAGGTTGGCAAAGCTGTTTTTTATCCCTAAAAGCCACATAGTAAATACAGTCTGTGTTGTAGCTACTCCCCTCTGCTGCTGTGTTGCAAAAGCAGCCACAGATCGGGGTAAATGAGTGAGCGAGCATAGCTATGTGCCAATAAAACTTTCTTTACAAAACCGAGAGGTGGGCCGGATGTGTGCTGATCCCTGTTCTCAGTGAAGGGAACCGAGAAGCAGGAGCCCAGGGTTGCCGAGTGGGCTGGTGAGCGCCAAGCATTGGCGTGTTAGGAATATTGGCCTCTCGGCTGTTCACCCAGGCCTCCCTGTCTGCAGAGGGCATCGTCTTGGAGGTGAAACGGGGAGGGCCGTGATCAGATCTCCGTCTGAGGACTAGAACAGACCTGGCGGCAGTCTGATGGGGACCCACTGGGAGGAGCCGAGGCCGCAGGCTTTACTGCCGTCCTGATGAGACGTTCCCAACCCCTTGGCCGTGGGGGATGGAGTGGGAGCCGCTGTCCCTCCGGACGAGCCCAGGCGGGTCCCCAGCCCCCACCGCCGCGGGAGCTCTGGCCCTTCCTCTGTGTTACCTTGAGGGAGGTGCTGTGTCTGCAGCCCGGCCAGGGAGCCCGGGAGGGCGGCTGGCTCCGAGCGCTGACCTCCGGGGACCCTGTCCCTTTCAGACGTGAACGAGTGCAGCAGCAGCCCTTGCAGCCAGGAATGCGCCAACGTGTACGGCTCCTACCAGTGTTACTGCCGGCGGGGCTACCAGCTCAGCGACGTGGACGGCGTCACCTGCGAAGGTGGGGGCGCCCCGCTCAGCTGAGGGGAGAGCACCTCCTCCCCGCATCTGCTTAACGCCCTTTCCGGCTGGCGGGGGGTGTGGGTTTTTTCTTACCCCTCCAACTGAGATTTGTTTGGATACAAAGAAGCCACTGCGAGTGAGGCTTAGAAAGCAGCAAACACATGACCGCGAGCATCACGTGTGCCGGGACCTTGAACCGCGCACGTGTGCCGGGACCTTGAACCGCGCACGTGTGCCGGGACCTTGAACCGCGCACGTGTGCCGGGACCTTGAACCGCGCACGTGGCCGGGCTTGGTGGTGTCGACCCAGGGGCAAGGCGGGGGCCCAGGGGCCGCCCACAGGCCTGGCCCGAAGCTCTGCCTCTCCTTGGCCGGGGCCGTGCATCCCCTGCCGCCTGAGGGCTGAGCCCAGACCCGCCGGGCTGTCCGAGGATTAAACCGGACGACGACTCGGAAGCGCTTGGTCCGGGTGCTCCGAGGACAGCTGCTGTTAGGATTCCTGCTCCTTTCCCGGCAGGCGTGTTTTTTATCAGCACATTTGTACTCATTAGCATCAGGATGTACCTGGGGCCTGCAGGTCGCCTGTATAATGTGCTAGTCCCCTCCCTGAGCCCCCAGTCTGCCTCCTCCCCCACATATGCACGCTCCACACCACGAACTCGCTGTGTGACCTTAGGCGAGGCCCTTCCCCTTTCTGGGCCTCAGTTTCCCCTTCTGGCATAATAGTTTCTGAGGCCGCCCCAGCACCGGAGGCTTCCTGTGTCCAGATTACCCCATCCTGGCCCACTGTTGGGAATGCAGCCCGGCCGGGGTCCACATGGGATGCTGAGGGGGGCGCTTTGCCGTCACAGACATTGACGAGTGCGCCCTGCCCACCGGCGGCCACATCTGCTCCTATCGCTGCATCAACATCCCTGGAAGCTTCCAGTGCAGCTGCCCGTCGTCTGGATACAGGCTGGCCCCCAATGGCCGCAACTGCCAAGGTGAGCATTGTGGAACCCCCGGGGGTCGCTCAGGTTGTGCACGGGGCTCTGCGGTGCTGGGGAGCTGAGGCCAGGCAGCCCGCAGCTGTGGGGATGCGCTCCCCTGACCCAGGGGCCACACCATAGATGGGGTGCATCTGGGAGGGCGAGGGGAGGCCTCTGCACACGCGCCCTGGTCTCCCGCACGCGGCACACCTGTCTTCAGGGGGTTCTGACCCTCCTGCCAGGCCCTCAACAGCCCCAAGGGGACCAGAACAGGGGATGACAGCCTTTAGAAAGATGCTAGCCAGGGAGGAAATGGGAGCTCAGTGCCCAGAAGACCCCATTCCACAGCACAGGGCCACTCGCTCCATCTTGCATTCGCCCATTCGACGAACCCTTGATGCGAGCCTGCCAAGAGTTAAGGGCAGAACACTGAGCGGATGGTGGAGGCCTCTGTCCCCGGGTGCTGATGATGACTGCCCGGTCGAGGGGATGGGTGTGTTCTGGTGCGTGACAGCCTACATAGTTATGAGCATAGTCCCTGTAGTTATGAGCACTATGGCTGCGAGGGTCCTGCTGGGGCTGGGGGTCGGCTCCAGCATGGGCTAAATGAGGGGGCCAGCGACACCCATCTGTATTCAGCTCCCATGTCTAAGAACACTCGAGGGGTCATTGTGAGCTCTGGAACTGAGCCATTTGGCAACTGAGAGGGGGTGCTGAGTAGATATTTGTGAATGAAGGACCCTGGAATGGATCCAGGGATGGCCCCAGAAGCTGAATCCCAGAGGTCGGGTCTCTCGGCCCCTTGCTCATGAGTGCTCCCCACAGGACTGTCGACCCAGAGGCTCCAGAGGCCCCGGGTTCTGCACTTGTCAGTTCTGGTCGGGAAGAAGGTGACTTTGATTAAAGGCAGGCAGGAGCTATATGGCCTTTCCTGGGAGGCACCCACTCAGCTCGCCTGCAGCTCTGGATGGAAGTCACTTTGTTTTCTCCTTTCTGGCGCAAGAGATGACTACCGCAGCCTGGGTGCTCTGCCAGGACCAGCAGAAACACATTCCTGAACCTCGGTCTTTGAGATTAAGAGTGTCGTTTTTGCCACCAAGATCAGGCACCTGGCCCCTCTTCACTGATGCCTCCCAGGCTTGGTGGCGTCCCCCGGACCCCACTGTGCGGCTGCTCCAGAGAGCTGTGGGAAGGGGGACAGTTCCCCGCGTCCAGGGCCCTCTCAGGACCGTGCCCCCGGCATCACCGACCCCGGGCCCCTGGCGCAACCTAGAATTCCTGTAAGCCTGGGTCTCCTCCCCTATACCGTATGGGGCCAGTAGCTTCTGCCATGTCCCTGCCGGGATGTCACAAGCCCCACACGAGGTAAAGGTGTGAGGTAAGGGTGTGCTGACCCAGGCACCAGCCCGTGTGGGTTCAAAGCTCGACTCGGCCGCTTGCAAAACGTGTGACCTTAGGCGAGTCACGGAAGCTCTGTGAGCTCCTCCCTAAAATGAGGATAATAATGGTATTGCCCATGGAAGCGTTAGAAGGGACAGAACTCCCCAAAGCACTTCCAGAGCTGTATTGTCACCCTCATCCCAGGAACTGTGAATAATAAGTACAAACTCTATAGATACCGATATTCCGTAAGTAAGGGAGCGGCGCGGTGGGAGGCCTGGGCTCCCCGGCTGGGGATGGCCACGGCGTGGGCGGCCTCCGCCTTCACCGGGCTGCCTCGGGGTCTCTCACAGACATCGATGAGTGTGTGACCGGCATCCACAACTGCTCCATCAACGAGACCTGCTTCAACATCCAGGGGGGATTCCGCTGCCTGGCCTTCGAGTGCCCCAAGAACTACCGGCGCTCCGCAGACACGTAAGTCCCTCGGGCCCCCCGCGGTCTGTCTGCGTCGGCCTTCCTGCGGGGCGTGGCTCCCGGCCTGGATGGCCAGTTAACCGACTGTGCCCTCCCACGGAGGGGGGGGTGACCCGGGAAACTGGAGGATCCCTGAGTCTCTAGTCCCCAAATGCCGGGAGAGCGCAGAGAGCCAAGGTAGTGACTTCAAGACGGGCGGGCCTACCCCCCCTCCCCCGGGGGAGCCTGTGTGTGGAGCCAGGCAGAGATCCCAGGCCTCTGGTTTCCGAGGGCAAGACCAGGGCGCGGGGCAGCTTGCTGGGCCTCAGCTTTCTCATCTGCACGATGCAGGTGTCAGGACATGCTCTGACCCAGATGAAGGTAGTGCTGGTTCTGGGTGAGCTGATGTGATTGCTGGGGCGTCGTCAGTCAGCGACACCCCCCTTCTTAAAAGCCAGATTCCCTTCAGCCCAGTGACAGTGTGGGGCCAGCACAAAAGGTCTGTGTCCCAGACTTGAAGCTATGTGTTCCCATGTCATTGGAAGCTCCTTCCCTCCCAGGCCACCGGGATGTGTGCTGGAGCATCCAGAAACCCCCTTCCTCAGGGCGTCGTGAGGACCCTCTGATCTCCCTACCCGCCACCCTGCCCCTGATTTTATTCAGCGAGTTTCATTTGGCGCCCCTGTCAGTAGTCTCAGGAAGAGCTCTCCAGTGGGGCCAGATTTGGGAGCACAGGTGCGTGACCCCTCCCTCCAACCCCTGGAAATGCTCAAAGCCAGCGCACAGCTAGGCTGACTGTGACTTGGCCTTTTGACCTTGAGTCTGCTGCTCCCGCTGGAGGGTCAGGGCCTCGGTCTCCACTTGCTCAGCCTCAGGGGCGGCTGCCCTGGCTTGTGGTTCTGGCCCGGCCTCCGGTTTGCCGAACGCCAGAACGAGAGATGCTCAGATAACCCGTCTCCCCCGCAGCCCTTTGGGCTCTTCCCAGTGTCTGCGTTCATCCTCTGGCCCCCCCACCTCCGTGGGCCCGCTCTGTTCCCCCAGCGCGGGTATGTTCATCCGCCTGGAAACCCAACAACTCATGTCCTCCTTGCGCCCCTGTGAAGGAAGATCCCCTCCAGAGCTGGGTTTTTGAGTGTGCGGCACTCCGGAGACGTCGTGGGTTACCCGGAGGTCCAGAGGGCAGTGAGGACGTTCCTCTGACCGCTAAGAAAGTTCCGTGTCCTCAGTTTGAGGCTGGGATGCCATTGTGTGTTGTGCCTGTCCTCCCAGGCCTTTGTCTGTGTCTGGGTTTGAGGACTCTGGAAGACTGGCTGGCACTGGGCATGGACTTCTCACACCCAGCCATGAAACCCAGAGGGGGCGGCTGCCCTGTGGGGGTCTGCACGCCTCCCAAGCCCGCGGGGCTGACAGGTGGGCGCTGTGTGTCGAGGTCGTGGCTGAAATCAGCAGACCCGGCTCCTTGCTGCATGTTGGCACATGCTGGAGAAAGTCTTTTACTTGTTTGGGGACAGTGGGCAGACCGTGTGCAGGTGCCTGGGCAGACAGGAGGCCTGCAAAGGCCCCCATCCCCTGCACCGTGCCTGCTAGGGGCACATGCCAAAACAGCCGTGGCCACAGAGTATATAGCAGGGTTCCCACCTGGCTGGGGTGGGGGCCGGAGGGCTGCCTGGAGTAGGCGATGCTAGAGAGAATGGGGAGGTAAGAGCTGAGTTAGGCAGAGAGGGAAGGGGTGGTGGGCAGGACTGGAGTAGAGCTGTGGACAGGGGAGCGAAGGGGTTCCAGCCGTGAAATGGGGTGTTCAGCAGGGAACCTGGACCCGCATTCCATTCACTGGGGGGTTGATGCTCCAAGGCTCAGTCTGTCCCCATCCCATGGATTGATTCATCAGCCGGTACCTGGGGCAGATAACGAGGGGGCTCGTCATTTTCTGTGAGTAAGGACAGGAAGTGGGCCCCCACCCACAATACAGGCAAGAAGGGGAGGATGAGGCTCCAAGCTGCCCCTCCTAGGAAGATGGCCAAGATTAACGCATGGTCCTGCTCTCCAGCGCCACCTAGCGGTGGGAGCAGGGGGGTGGGCGGGGAGGAGAAAGGCGCTGGGAGCGGAGTCTGGACCTGACACCCGGTGCACCAGCCCCCGGTGACTGTTCTCAAGCCTCGTGGGGATGCTGTGGCATTCTGGAAAGATGCCAGCTTGAAGTCAGGTTCACTTGGGTTTGCCTCCCCACTCAGTCCATTCCAGGTCCCTTGAGCTTCTTAGAGCCTCCATACTCCAGCTGTGAAGGGGGTGGTGATGTCACCCTGCCAGGTTCCCGTGGGGTGAGCAGTGATCGTGGGGCAGAGCCCCATCATGAGTCTCACACTGGGTTCAGCCCTAGTGGGGTGTGGGTAGGCACCCCAAAGGCGTATTTCACTGCCAGTGTAATATGGATGAAGGGAAGGTGGGTGGTGCCCCTGGTGTCCAGGTCCGGGTATGGCCCGAGGGGCTGCGTGGAAAGCGGAAGAACCAGGGCCAGGATTCTAGGCTTCCAGAGTCGTTCTCCTGTTCCTCGGGGCTGTGGCCTCAGGTCAGTGTGTTGGCCACCCAGGGACCCTTTCTGCGTCTGCAACACCTGCTTGGCAAGGCCTTGAGGATTAGCGAGGATTAGCAGTAACGAGCTCCAGGCGTCCAGCCCAGTGCCAGCACATAGTCCATGCTTAGAAAAAGTCGTGGTGAGGAGAACGATCACTAGACATCCCCGTTTCTCTTCCTTGGGGCACGGCAAATCCGACGCGGAGGTTCCTCGGGGTAACTTTGTCGTTCTTGCTCTGTTGCTTGCTGACCGTGTGGCTGACGGAGTTGCCCGGCCCTCAGATGGGAGACGAGACGGGGATTCTGGAAGGGCTGGATGGTTGGGGCCGTCACTGCTACACACTGGAATCCATCTGGTTACAATTTTCTCCTTTGCTGATCCCTGTGGAGAATCACGGGCCGGCCAGGAACCCAGAGTAGGAAGTGGGGGCTGGGGCTGGAATCCCAAGTTGAGTGGCCACAGGAGGGGTCTTATCCAGGTTGCCCCCTCCTAGTGAGGGGAGTTACTCTGGGACCATGGAAGCTCATAGCTTAGTGTGAACCTAGAGACAAGCCTCTGACAAGTTGAAAGCAACACGGGCAGGATGCAGGCCAGAGCTCCAAGCAAGGAGGGGCCGATCTTCTCAGCCCTGCTAATGGCTCAGGCTGGAGTTTACCATTTTCATGGCTTCTTTTCCTCCTCCTCAAAAATCCTCTTAAAGAATTTATAATCTGACCTTCAGAAAGCAATTTGTAAAACTTAAAAGAGCTGTATTAGGAAAGACCCAGTAGCCAGCATTTCTGAGGTTAACATTTAGGGTGCCTTGAGAGGGAAGATTTAAGGCGTGCATACTCTCTCTCTCTTTCTCTCTCTGGGCCTCAGCCTTCTCTTTCTCTTCACACAGTCTCCTTCTGGGCAGTGTCCCTGGCAGCCAAGGGGTGGTAACTGGAGCATGACCCAGCAGGCTGGGCCACAAACCACAGGGCTGGGCCTCGTGGATCATCCAGGCTGTTAAGATCCTGACCACGCGATTCCTTCCGACCCACAAGAGGAATGTCAAAGTGTTCCAGAGCCTGGGATGGGACTGAAAACATCCTCTTTATCCCCTCAGCAGGGCCGACCCCTGAGGCTCGTGGTCTTGGCAGCCCTGGTTGGCAGGGCTCTGGACCTGAGGGTGTACCGCGGGTGGACGAGAGGGGGTGGAGTCCTGCCTCAGCCTGTTCCTGGGGCTTCTCTCCAGAATGACAAGAGAATGGAAGTCAGGGAAGTGCTAGCAGGGAAGGCTGTGAGCATGAGACAGCCTGGGGGGTGGCCCGAGTGGCCATGCCTTCCAGAAGAAGGGATTGGGCCTGGAGGACCTTCTTTCTCTGGTGTGTGCACACTTCCAGTAACTGCATTTTCACAGAAAATAGGGTGTTCTGATCCAGCTTGTTGAACTGAAAAATTAGGGCACGTTGTTCTCTTGTACACGGTGAGATGGAAACCAAGACGTGCGGTCCCAGGGACCTGGCCGTTCTCTGCGTGACGGCGGCCCCTCCTCAGTCCAGACATCCTGGCTAACGAAGACTTTTGTGTCAGGCAGTTTGCCAGATGCAGTAGCTATGATTTCTGTGATGTTTCAGTAAGTGTAGGGTAGAGCAGCACAGGATCACTGAGGTTGGAACTGACCGGGAAAATCAGGGCCATATTTATTTGTGTCCATTTACGAAGCACATAGTAGGTGTCACGTGCTGGGTCCTGGAGATAAAACCGAAGAGCCATCGCCCGGCTCTTGGGAGGTGAGAGCTCAGAAATGCCTAGTGTGAGAAAGAGCTTGGGGTGCTCTGGCTTTCGGGTCAGGGGAGCGGTGTGGAGCCCATTGAAGAGGGAGTGTCCAGTTCTCTGGTGTGCGATGCCTACGGGAGCTCTACCAGAACATCACGCACACTTCACGTTTCCCTCCCTCCGTACACGCTCGGCTAATGCTTCCATCGGACAAATCAAAACCCTGTCCTTGGACAGGGTACAGGCCACACAGAAGTGGGCAAGCTTAAGTCACATGAAGGAGACTCTAGTGCCACCTGCTGGACAGACCCACCAGGCCCTTCCTGAAGCAGCTGGGACGTGTGTGTATGCGTGCACGACGGCTTTCAATGAGGCCAATTTTGTTTTCGCTACTTACTACGCTATGGAGTCATGGACGTGTCCTCACTGAGCTTTGATCTTCCCGCTGGTAGAACAGGAGAACAGAGTGGGACAATGAAGTGAGCTAATGGAAGGAGAAGCCCTCATGCACCCAGCATAATGCTAGGCACCATCCCTCAGTGGCTCCCAAATCCCCAGGAACACTCCCATTTGGCTTGGACCTAGGTGTCTCTGGGAGTAGGCAGCCCCTCAGCAGCACCCTTCTTCTGCTTACCTTCTTTCCCATCTCTCCCCTCTGTGTCCAGGGCCCCTCCCATGCGTGACTCCTCACCTACCATGGAGGATCATCGCCCAGGGAGGGCCATGGCGCTCACGCCCAGGGATGTCCTTTTTAAGTGCTCAGAATGGTAAATGGCCAAGTAGATGAAATGATTCCTACCAGCCCTGATAAAGAGCTGGAAATAGGATGTAAAAAGAGACCACACTGACAGTAAATGCCAAGTGTAAAATAAGTCCAAGTGACCCAACATGAGGCATGGAAACTTAAAAGAGCTGAAAGGGAGACGTGATGAAAGACTAGGACAGTACATGTTCCTGGCTGGAGAATCCCAACACAGTCAAGATGGCAGAACTTACTGGGACATGCTCTGCCAAGTCCCATAGGGCTCGGCACTTTGGCTCCACTTCCTAAGGTAGCTCCCATCAGAGTGTGAAGGCGTAGCATTCAGGAAGCAGAAGATAGTTCATGTCCCCATCCTCTCACAGGAAGTTAGAACCTGTCTCTATCTCCATCACAGGGAGTTAGGAGTTATCGTCATCCTGTCACAGGAAGTTAGAACTATAACAGGAAGTTAGAACTTCTTTCCATCCTGTCACAGGAAGTTAGAACCTATAATAGGAAGTCAGAACCTCTTCCCACCCTGTCACGGAAGGTAGAACCTGTAACAGGAAGCTAAAAGCTCTTTCCATCCTACCATGGGAAGTTAGAAGCTATCATCATTCTGTCACAGGAAGTTAGAACCTATAACAGGAAGTCAGAACCTCTTTCCATCCTGTCACAGGAAGTTAGGAGCTATCATCTACCTGTCACAGGAAGTTAGAACCTGTAACGAGAAGTCAGAACCTCTCCCCATCCTGTCACAGGAAGGTAGAACCTGTCACAGGAAGTTAGAACCTATAATAGGAAGTCAGAGCCTTTCCCCATCCTGTCACAGGAGGGTAGAACCTGTCACAGGAAGTTAGAACCTCTTTCCATCCTGTCACAGGAAGTTAGGAGCTGTCATCATTCTGTCACAGGAAGTTAGAAGCTGTAACAGGAAGTCAGAACCTCTCCCCATCCTGTCACAGGAAGGTAGAACCTATAACAGGAAGTTAGAAACTCTCCCCATCCTGTCACAGGAAGGTAAAACCTGCCACAGGAACTTAGAACCTCTTTCCATCTTGTCACAGGAAGTTTAGAAGCTATAACAGGAAGTCAGAACTTCTTTCCATCCTATCACAGGAAGTTAGAAGCTATCATCATTCTGTCACAGGAAGTTAGAAGCTCTTTCCATCCTGTCACAGGAAGTTAGGAGCTATCATCATTCTGTCACAGGAAGTTAGAACCTGTAACAAGAAGTCAGAACCTCTCCTCATCCTGTCACAGGAAGGTAGAACCTGTCACAGGAAGTTAGAACTTCTTTCCATCCTGTCACAGGAAGTTAGGAACTATCACCATCCTGTCACAGGAAGTTAGAACCTGTCTCCTTCTCCATTCCAAGCCCTGACTGTCCCTGTGGACACACAGGAACCTGGGCCTGGAGCACAAGGCTCAGCGAGGGGGTTGAGGAACAGACCTCACTGCCTGAACACAAATCTGGCTTCCTCACTCACTGTGACCTTGGGAAGGCCCCCGACTCTTTCAGGCTCAGTTTCCTCACCTGAAGAATGGCACTCAACCCACTGTCACAGTGCGGTTACAGTGATCACACTAGAGAAAGCTTGATGACGAATGGCCAAGCACTTGATAGATGGCAGCAGCCATGACTGCTAGTGGCGGAGATGATCACTCCCAGGGGCATCTCCGTGACCCACCAAGAGCCCTGTATGGCCCTGACCGCTGTCTGGGTGAGGGGCCAGGCGCCTGGACGACCCTCAGCGGGCAGGGTGTGCCTGGTGAGTGTGGCCCGGGGTGGGGCTCTGCCAGTGAGCGGGGACACGCCTCGCTCCCGGCACAGCCCTAGACCCCAGCCACCCAGCGCCCCCTGAGGGTGTTGGAAGAGGCTAGTGGCTGAGTCAGCGGCCCGGAGGTCCACGGCACCTCCCGCAGGTGAGTGAGGGGGGCTCTTCCTGTCGGCTGAACTGGCCAGAGGGGTGGCGGGAGGCCCCGCACAGCGAGCCCCCCGCTTTCCCTCATGCTCTGTTGTTCCTCCGCTTGCTGAATTGGCTCTAACCCTCTTCTTGTCTCTCTGTCCACTTTTCTTGCAGCCGCTGCGAGCGCTTGCCTTGCCATGAGAATCAGGAGTGCCCCAAGCTGCCTCTGAGAATAACCTACTACCACCTCTCTTTCCCCACCAACATCCAAGTGCCCGCGGTGGTTTTCCGCATGGGCCCCTCCAGTGCCGTCCCTGGGTACAGCATGCAGCTGGCTATTACTGGCGGCAATGAGGAGGGCTTTTTCACCACCCGGAAGGTGAGCCACCACAGTGGGGTGGTGGCCCTCACCAAGCCCGTCCCTGAGCCCAGGGACTTGCTCCTGACCGTCAAGATGGACCTCTTCCGCCACGGCACCGTCAGCTCCTTTGTGGCCAAGCTTTTCATTTTTGTGTCCGCAGAGCTCTGAGCACTTGCTTTGGGGCGCCGGGGGCTCCCCCTTGTCGCTTTCCTAACCCTCCCCTCCGGGATTTTAATAAAGTTTTAGCAGGCGATCCCTACACAGCATGCCTCGCGTGCCTTGGTTTTATTTCGCATGGTGGGGATTCTGTGCTGTCTCTCACCTTGGGGGGGGGCGGGGAGGGGGGCAGGCACCTGCCACTGCCTGGCGCCCCCATGCGGTGACGAAGTGTTTTTCATACAGTAGCGTGCATCTGGGGGTCCCTGTTGATGGAGGTCACCATACACCCCACCAGGGAGCCCAGGGGCGGGGAGAAGAAAGCTCGCGTGTATCATTTCAGATGAAGGATCTCTTCGTTTTGTGTTGAGCCCAAAGGATGAGGCGATCATTGAAAGATTATTGAGCTCCTTCCTCTCTTATTTTACAAATGTGGAAACCGAGGCCCGGAGAAGGGAAGGGGCTCGGCCAAAGTTTTGTGGCCCGTGTGTGGCAAAGCCAGGCCATGGGACTAGGTCTTCTGGCTCTCCTTGGTTTCCTTGCTCTGTCGCAGGGAGCTGAGCATTTAATGGAGTCAGAAAAACTCTATCCTGAGATTCAAGCCTCTCGTTCTGTTTGTCTTGATGAGAGGCCTGAACTTGTGGGGAAAAGCCCCCAACACAGCTGCAGAATCTTGGATGCAGCTCTTGCCTAAATGAGGGTGGTTGCCTCTACTGGGGATTTTGCCCCCATGCCGGGAGGCGGTTAAGGACGACACAATAAATGTGCCGCTCATGGGAACCACTGAGGGTGCTTCAGGTCCTTTGTGATCCTTACCTCCAGGGGGTGCAAGGCAGGTGTCTCATCCCCGTAGAGACTCAGAGAGGGCGAGTGATTTGCCCAAGATCACACAGCTGGTATTTGAACCCTGGCTTGCTGCCTCCACAACTCTGACTATTCCTTTCTATCACAATACCTTCAACATTGGCCTTGACCCACCCGCCTCTCTTCATCTTCCCCACCATGATTCCAGCCAAACCATCATCACAAGTCCCTAGGGTGCCTTTCAGGCCCTGTATAATTTAGTCCTTGCATGCATCTCCAGCCTGACTTCGAATTATTCTCCCCTTGATCACTTCCCTTGAGCCACACTGCTGAGTTCTTTGCTGCCTCAGGCCCTTTGCACATGCTTTGTACCCTTGGCTTGAAAGTTGGTTAAAGCTCAGCTTAAGTGTTCCTTTCTCAGTGAGGCCTTCCTCAACACCATTGCGTTGTCTCCTCTGTCAGTCTTTCTCATAACACTTCAACATTATGCTTCTCACAGTTTGCATTTCCCATTTGTCTGTGTTTCACATCTGTCTTCTTCACCACCCAGAAGCCTCTGTGATGGCAGAGACCAGCTCCATCTCATTCAGTGACGTGTCCCTAGCTCCTGGTGAGGGGCGTAACACACACTAAGTGCTCTGTCCATGTCTGTTGAGGGAGTGGATGACTCTCTGTCAACATTGGCTTATGTCTGTAGCATTTTCTGTGACTGCCGATGCTGTTTCCGAGCAGAAACAAGAGGGGGAAGGCAGAATGCCACAGAGGAATCAAGTAAAGGATATTGCAGGATCCTAAGATCCTTTCTACAATGACATGTAAGTTGGTGGGGAGGGTGTCCTGGCCTTGCTGTCTGGTAGGGAAATAAACTCTACGCTTTGCACTTTTGACAGAAGCAGCAGTTAAGTTGCCATGGAACCATGCACACTTCTAGCCAGTCACCTCAAGCCTCCAATCGGTCTCCCATACCTCTATCTGATCATGTCTGGTCTGGACCAGCACCCAGTCTCCTATCTTCTAATGCATTCTCCAAGCTGCAGCTAGAGGACCCCTCTGAAGGGCCGGTCTGGTTATGTTTCTCCCTTGTTAGGACCTTCTGTGGTTCTCTATTACGAGCAGATGAAGTCCAACTCTCCTGAATGGTATTCAAGGCTCTGCCCACCTTTCCAGCTCCATCCTAGCTCATCCTCTTTGTTCTAGCCACGCAGAGTTGCTTGCCCTTCCCTGAATGTGCCTGCCCTTGGCTTTAGCATGTGCCATGCTATCCTTCTGCAAACTGCTATTCTCCTTGAAGCGTGAGCTCAGAGGTCACCTCCTCCATGAAGCCTTTCCTTATTCTGAGCTCGCATAGCCCTGGACATACTCCATCCCAACATTTTTCCTGTTATCTTGTGGTTGTTACTTTTTTTTTTTTTTAAGATTTTATTTATTTATTTGAGAGAGAGAGAGCACATGAGGGGGGTGGTCAGAGGGAGAAGCAGACTCCCT